TGGCAGTCTGAAGGGCAGGGAAACAGCCCAATGAACATCACCGCAGAGGAGCCAATCAGCTAGATGTTGCTGGGGCAGTCTGAAGCTTGCTGGCAGCTGGAAGTTTGCTGGGGCCCCTTTGGCTGTGGCTCTCAACAATTGGGCCTCTCTAATGGTAGTTTTGTAGGTAAAGGTATTTCACAGCTGCAGACTTTATGTCTGGAGGGACCTTAGGTGGTAATCCCTGCCACTGGCCCCAGCTAGATAGTAGTTTCTCACTTTGTCAGGACCTGTTCCTCTCTGAAGCTGTTCCTTGAAAGGATGTGCCCTTACCTCCCTTGGTTATAAATTTCAGTTCTTATGTATTTGATTTCTTCTATTAAGTCTAGGTGTAGTTTCTGTTGCTATAGTTAAAGTCTGCTTCCTTTTATTTTTTTAATTGGTTTTCTAGTGGGAAGTTGGTATCTGAGGGGCTGTACTAATGAGTATGTCATCTCTCTTTCCCATTTCAGCTACCACCATCTGTGATCTGGACACCCAGTTCCGCTGTCAGGAGTCTGGGACATGCATCCCACTCTCCTATAAATGTGACCTTGAGGATGACTGTGGAGACAACAGTGATGAAAGTCACTGTGGTAAGGGAGCATGGCATTCAGAAACCCCTTCTGAAGAGGGAGCAACCATGTTTGCCCACTGGACTGTACTAGTGCATGATGGGGGTTGGAAATGGAGGGTTTCTGATGGCGTTTCAGGACTTCTGCTCTTCTAGCTACATGACCACCTCCACCCACATGGTAGGCTTGAGTCACTTCCTTTCTCCATTCAGAGCTTGCTTGAATTTTTTTTTCATGAGAATTCAGTTCCTCTGGTGGAGTTCGTGGATTTAGGGGAAGAAAAGATGGAGCCTAGACTAGCTCCCATTATTTACTTGCTGTGTAGTTAGACTTTGTTTTCTAATCTGAAAAATGGGGAAATAGGACCTAGCTTACCTCGTGGAGGTGCTATAAGGGTGACATGTGATAGTAAATAGATAAGATTTCTGAATGAATTCAGTGGGTTGTTATCAGCTTTAGACATGTGGCCTGTACCTCTGAGTAGGTGTAGGATGAGTGTCTTTGGATCTCTATCTTTGTGAAGAAATGTGCTAAAACCAGTCTAATTCACTAAACTCTTAGAAATCAGCAGATGATATAAGCATTACTTGAGAATTTGTTTTCTGAATGGAAATTTTGTATACTAATTTCAAGAAATTATTGGAGATTCTCTGGTTCAGTCCTTTTAATTTCCACATTAAGCAACTAAGATCCATAGAAGTCAGGATCCTTGGT